ATCTGTGTCCTCAGAATGACTCTTCAGGGATCATAGTGCTGTGTGGTGTTGCAATTTATATATACAAAAGAACAGACACATGTGCTTCATTGCAGTGAAAGGGTTAAAACTTTTCAGGGGTGTCTATGCATATACGGGAGAAAACATAATGTATGGATGGTTCAGTGGTATTTGTGATTTGAGGCTGAAGGGCATATATGGGATAATTGTCTGCTGAAGAGAGTAAAGGAAAAAGAGAAGACACCGAAATGTAAAAAAATAGGAACGTAAAATCCCTAGGATGCTTAAGTAAGTCTCTTTCTTTCTTTCTTTCTTTCTTTCTTTCTTTCTTTCTTTTCCTTTCTCTTTCTTTATTTCTTTCTTTTCTTTCTTCCTCCCTTTCTCCCTCCCCCTCCTCTTGTTTTAACACAGTTTTAGGTATCAAGGCTGATGTCAACCTTGTTACATAGACAAAATGCCTTTCCATTTCTGATTTTCTGCCTCTACCTTCAAGTGCTGGGATTACAGGCATGTGTGCCACGTCCAGTTTTTACATGCTGGCAGTCAAACTACAGTCTTGGAGGTTCACTCTACTGACTGAACTACACCCTCGGTCCTTTCTGGAGACTTTGTGGAGCATGGACCATTGCCTGCTGTTGGGCTGTGATTGTGTCTTTGACGATGTCACATATGCAACAATACCCTCTCTGTGCTGTACATTCCTCATGCTCTTTTAATTCCTGTTATTTACACCACACAAACTCTGCTTTAGCCGATGTTGCTTCATTTATTCAGTACATTCATTCAATGCCTTGTACATATATAAAGCCAAACTGATTTTAATATTTGTACTTTATTTATGAAACTACATATGAGGAAGATACTAAATGCTTTTTCAAATTTCAAGATGAGAGCAGTCAACATGCATTCTTGAAGGTGCATCCTGTGCAGGTTGTAGAATGTTTTCTACCCTCTCACCACCATGACTGTCTAAGCCTGAGATGAACAAAACAACAACAATAGATTTGCTAAACTGGAGGTAGTAAAGTGCACAGAGCCTCAATCCTAGACAGCAAAATACTGAAACCTAATGAAGGCAGTTAGGCATGACCTTAACTTTGCTCAGGCCACCATATTTTTTAAATTTATGGGTGCATTTCCTTGTAATTTATAGAGGAACCTATCTAGTAGCAGGAATTCTAGTCCTCTGGCACTTATGATCTTTCTGCCACCTCTTCTGGGATTCTTTTGAGTCTTAGATGTAGGGGTTACATTGCAGACATGTCAGTTGGATTTTGCACCATAGAGTCACTTACTCTTTGTATTTTGTCCAGTTGTGGTTTCCTAACACATGGGGAAGAACAAGGTACATAGATTTGTCTGTGAGGGTTGTCTTGATTGTTAATATGTGTAGGAAGGTCAAGCCCACTATGTTCCAGAACATCCTAGGCAGGTGATCATAAATTGTATTTAAAAAATCTAGATTAGTATTAGTTCACCTACAAGTCAGATAGTAAGTCACATTTCCATTATCCTTTTTGTATCTCATTAGCTGTAAAGTACATTCCTTTGCTAGAGGTGATAGAGTATAGAATAGCAAACAGTTCTGGTTTCAAGTTTCTGCACTGACTTCCATAAGTGATAACATGCAAAAATGAAGGTTTTCATCTCCAAATTGCATTTTGTCAAGGTATTAACAATAGCAATGGAAGGAAAACTAAGATATAAGATATAAAGTCCAATAAGTATTGTCAGTATGTGTATGAGTGTGGGCCATCTTTTGAAGCATGGGAAGACTACAAACATCTACACCTTTAAGAAGAGTGATTTGTCCTCCTCCAGCAGCTATCAACTGGTCATAGTCCTCTGCATGGAGTAGGACCCACCTAGAACACCTTCCTATTTGTGTGAGAACTTGGCTGACTTAGTCTTATGTAAGTGATTCTCTTGTAATAGATCTTATAATAGATCATCTGAGGCAGAACACCATGTGATCACTTGTTCTCTGCATTTTATTAGTTGCAGTTATTGTTTGATTGAGGACTACACTTATGTGTGGGTACAATAACAGATATTTAGAATGTAGTTAGGGATTATGATGGTTTAATAAGGTGGTGGCTATAGGTTCTCCTCCAAGATACCTATCCTCACTAGCCCTAAGCAGTTACCTTTTACAGTTTCAGGCATTATTTTCCTCTTGTTGATTTGTTTCTTATGTTCAATTAGAGAGCTATTCATTGCCGCCAAGGTATGAGTCCCACTATTGTATCCTTAGGTTTTCAAACCATATTGGTCATTGTAGTTGTAATGCATAACCGCTGGGGAGGATAATTCATTGCTTCTCTTTCTTGGAAACTTGCATGTTACCCTCTGGTACCATGAAAGTTTGTAGTCAGGGAGCAGGTCTTCAAGCAGATCAAGCTGGGTTCTTCTGACACTATATTTTAAATGATGTCATCAGCAATAAAGACTCAGTGCATTGCTGGGATGCAAACAAGGTCAAGAGTAATAGTCTGTAATATTTTAGGAATCTCTTGAATTTTCCTGACCTACAACTTGAATGAGAGATTCCCAAGACTGGGTTGAGTTTTGTATTTTTATTTTTTAAGATATCTATGGCTCTTGGGAGAGAAGCATTTTCAGCACAGGTGGAAACATTTAATTTAAACTATGTATGCATAAGCAAACACATATACCTATACTTATGTACTTTTGTGTAATTTTAGATAAGTGGGTATTAATGTGATTTGATTCCTTTTTTAAAACTTTTTTATTCATTTATTGTGTATATAGTGTTCTGCCTGCATGTATACCTGCAGGCCAGAAGAGGGCACCAGATGTCATTACAGATAGTTGTGAGCCACCATGTGGTTGCTGGGAATTGAACTCAGAACCTCTGGAAGAACAGCCAGTGCTCTTAACTGCTGAGAAATCTCTCCAGCCCCTTAGAACTTTTAAAAACATGGTTACTGTAATTCCATCCTCTTCCATCTCTCTCCTTCAATGTTGACCTCCTTTCCCCTAATTTTTCCTATTTCTCCCATTAAATTATGTTTACCTTGCTTCCCACAACCACACGTTCCCTTTTGCATCTTTCTGGCTTCTGTGGTTACTCCAGGTTATATTTTTGCATTTGAAGATTTGAAAATTTTATCTCTATAATTTCCATTGGAGTTAAGAGTTCAGTGGCAAAATATGAGGCATTTTTCTTTCTGCATCTTGGTCAACTCATTTAAAATATTTTTTCTAGTTCCATTGATCTACCTGAAAAGTTTATGGTGCGGTTTTTCATTACATTAAAAAATATTCCATAGTGTATAGGAGCCACATGTTTATTATCCATTCATCAGTTGAAGGAAATTTAGGTTGTTTCCATTTCCTAGTTACTGTAGATAGAGCATCAATAGAACATCATTAAACAATTATCTGTAGTGTAGGATGTATCATTCTTTGGACATAGACCAAAAAGTAGCCTAGCTGGGTCATGTGGAAGACTTATCTTAGTGTTCAGAAGATTCTCCACACCTATTTCCTGAGTAGCTGCACGAATATGCACTTTCCTGAGAGTAAATGTGGATTCCTAATCCCCAAAACACTTCCCCAGCATTTGTTTTACTGGGGTGAAATAACATCTAAAAGTTGTTTTAATTTATATTTCCCTAATTGCTAATGATGATAAACAATTTTGAGATTTTTTAGCCATTTTTATTTCTTCTTAGAATTCCATCTAGACAGTCATGTTTTTCTACCATCTGCATTTCCTTCATCAGAAAGAGATCTAGTGAAAAGGGTGGGTTTAGTGAGAGTTGTGGAGATGGACTCAAGTCACTTTTGTTAGGGGTGTGCATCCAGTAGGGGGCACTGCAGGACTCCTAGAAATTATTTTTTGTTTGTTTTTCAAGACAGAGTTTCTTTGTAGCTTTGGAGCAAAATAACTTTGTCTTAAGGTGCCTAGAGGTTGACGATCCCAGATGAGACATAAGGCAATCCACTTACAAAGCAAGGAGTAGGGGTGACTGTAAAGTTTCCGGGATCCCAGATCTTTAGATAGCAATCATTACATATAAAGCCACAATATCTAGAGCCTGTTCACTGGGCTTTATGTGTTTATAAATTCATTTTAAAATAACTCTCTGAACAGATGCAAGCAAAATAGACTTCACCAGGAATTATGAGAATGGACATTCAAGAGAAAACATCTCCACTGCTTTCATTTTTGTTAGTTTTAGTTTAAAATTTTCCCAAATTCAAAAAACTGGAAATTGCTCTAATTTTCTTTATATCATATATAATTTATAAATGATATCTGCCTATCTACCTATCTACCCTCTGAACTAGAAAGAAAGAGAATAACTACTTAAGTCATTAGAAGTCATTATATTTCTGCATATGCTTAGTTGGACAATGATATTTTTGGCCATTCAGTGGCAGTATTGGGCATGAATTCCATTTCTTGGAATTGTGCCCTAGGTTCATTCAGAATGTGGTAGGTCACACCAATATCAATTGTGTCTGTATCATACCGCTGTAACATGTATGGAGATCACTATTGTAGATCAAAGGACTTATAGCTGAGTTGGTGTTTATCTTTCTCCTCTGGTACCATTATACATTAGCTTTGTTAGATTTAAAGATAGGAAATAGGCTCACTAGTGTGTGCAAATACTATTCTTGATCTCTCAACACTAGAACACACTTGATATGACATATTCGTGTGTTATGTGTCTGAGTCCCTCACAGGTCAGAGAGGACTTAAGCAGAGGCCTCACTGGTTAAGGATGCAACCACCAGGTGGTAGTAGACCTCAGCTGCTGTGGGGTATGCAGAGGAATTACTTCCTTGTATACTGATTGTGGAGGCTTAGGGCAGAAGCACAACCTTTTTCTCAGTGGCTGAGTGGATGACTGGAGAGGTAGAATTGTTCTTTAGAAAGAACAACTTCCTGATTGCAGTAGCCGACCAGCAAGTCATCACAATTTATACTGGGCCTTAATTTATTTGGACTAATGAAGAAAATAATAATGAAGACAAATGTTCCTTCTTTATTCATGTTTCTGTGGCTGCAGCGGCATGGTGAGTTAAGACTTTAGAGCCAAAGAATAATCTGTGGGCATTTCTGACACACCCAGGAGGAACTCTATTTTAGTCAAATTTTCTCTGATACTATTTAAAAAAATAAGAGATAATTCTGTACAGTGATGACCTGACCAACTTTCTCCATTATTTCTGTCTTTCTGCACAGGGCTGAGCCAAGGAGAGCAGGTGGAACAGCATCCTTCTACCCTGAGAGTCCAAGATGGAGCCAGCGCTGTCATCAACTGCACATATGTAGACAGAACCTCGTACAGCTTCCTTTGGTATAAGCAAGGACCTGGAGCGCATCCTAAGCTCATTGTTGACATTCATTCAAATGTGGGAAGAAAGCATGATGAAAGACTGATTGTTTTTCTGGATAAGAAAGCCAAACACTTCTCCCTGCACATCACAGATGCCCAGCCTGAAGACTCTGCCATGTATTTCTGTGCCACAGATACACACTGCTCCCCAGGCACCTGCAGTCTGTCCTCTAACCTGTCATAGAGCCTGGAGCCCCGTTCACATCCTGTGTCACAGGTTTCCAAGGGAAAATATGCCAGATGTTAGTGAGCAAGTACCAACTATAATGTCGACATTAAAAACACAAAATAAGAAAGTTAGCTTCGAGTAACTGAAAAACTTTTGGACAATTTTCTCCATTGTTTTCAAAAAGTATTTTAAAATTTGAAACACAGTTTTGTCATTCCCTTTCCCTGGTTGTAGACTTAACTACTGTCACAGATAATAAGAACTCACTGTTTTTCAGAGAAGATGCTGTAGCACACTCAGCCCCACATGGCAGATCTCCATCACACAACCTCCTCCCAAGGTCAGAGGTCACTGAGGAAGAGGGGATGGAAAAAATATCAGAGCCAAAGGTGGGGGATGACTACAAGGAGACGGTGTTTTCTGGACACAGCAAGGCAGCTGCACACATGAACTCACAGAGGTTGACAGCACACATACATTTTGCAAATGACCAGGTCAGACAAAACTTGATCAAGAAGTAAAGGTGCTCATTCCTACCTTTAGCTAAGAAGCTTTGTGAAGTTGGTAGCTGCTGGGGGAGAGACTCGGGTTTCTCTAAAGGTAAATCTCCTAGTGCTTCACTGGACTGCCCTCCAGTGAAGACCACACTTCCAAGAGTATATGGGTTGCACATCCCGTAATGCAAACTTTGATGTGTTTTATTTTTTAAATGAGTGGACAAAACTGGGTTTGTAGTGAAGAGTGGATGGGTCTGGCAGGATTGAAGGGAGCAGGTGTGCATGATCAAAATTAAGTAGACAAATTTTATCAGAAATGTGTGTTTGTATGTACATTATTTTATGTATATTCATCACACTAAATATCAAAGGATACGCATAGTTCAGTAACACTGATTATTTCCGGCACCCACTGGGGACTCGAGACCTGCCTCCTTTGGGTGAGGTTTCAAGTTCATTCACCGTGTGTTGTGCAGACATCTGTGGTGTGGTTTGAACAGAAATCAGCAGATGGCGATGCCTCTTCAGGTGGGGTTAATGCTTCATCCACGTGGTGGTTTTGCATCACAGACTGTCACTGTGCAGAAGGAAGTCCTTGTTTCTGAGTTTCAGTAAGGTCCTGAGGAGACTTGCCTGTGAGTTTGGTGAACTTATGAAGCAAGTGTCATTGACTTCTATGAACATGCTTCCTGACACCTGCTCTGTCCTGGTGCTCCTGTTAATGCTCAGTAAGTCACATTTACCATAAGCACTGATGATGTCATTTTCTTACAACTATGAAAGGTTTTACCTACTTCTTTGAACAAAAAGCAGTTTTTCCTTATTTATTTGTTATTTATTTTCAGGGAGGAGCAATGGAGACTCAGTGTCCCAGACAGAAGGCCTGGTTACTGTCACAGAGGGGTCACCTGTAATGCTGAACTGCACCTATCAGACTACTTACTCAAATTCTTTCCCTCTATGGTTCGTGCAGTATCCCAACAAAGCCCTTCAGCGACTTCTGTGGAGCATGACAGACAACAAGAGGACAGAGCGCCAAGGGTTCCACGCCACTCTCCATAAGAGCAACAGCTCCTTCCACCTGCAGAAGTCCTCGGTGCAGCTGTGGGACTCTGCCCTGTACTACTGTGCTCTGAGAGACACAGTGAGGGAGACTGCAGGGGAAGCTGCACACAAACCAACGGTACAGGAGGGTGAGGGGAGCAGACCTGTGAAGGAGGGCTGTGTATGTCTCTAAATGGGGTTTGTTCAGCTTCCTGAAATACATCAACAAATTTCAGTCAAATTCCCAGGAAACTAGGACTCTGTGGATACTCTGATGGGACAGGATGGAAATCATTGCTAGAGACAACTTGGGCTTTGATCCCCAGAAATACTGTTCTCTCCCTAAGTGGAGAACCTCTCAAAGAAAACATCTCCAGGAACATTCTGACAGGATTTATCTGTACCAATATGTCTTACAAAATTTAATAATTGATCTTCTCTTACAATATGTTGTTACTAGCCTACAAATTTATGACCAAATGAGGAACATAGACTCTAATCTTTGAAAATCTCCTTCAGTCTCACTCCACAAGTTACTTAGATTCTTCCTCTACCTGGTCCATGTTACAGAGAGTTCAACCTGACTTCCAGTCTCAGTTACTGTTCTACTGCTGTAGAGATAACCATCACCAAGGCAACTTACAGAAGAAATCATGTAATTGAGGTCTTGAATACAGTTTCAGAGGGTGAGTCCATGACCATCATGGTGGCGAGCATAGTAGCAGGCAGGAAAGCATGGAGCAGTAGGTGAGCGCTTCTTTCTGATCGTAAGCAATAGGCTGAGAGAGGGGAAGACTGGGCCCAGCTTGGGCTTTGAGATCCCCAAGCCACCTCCAGTGACACCTCCTCTGATGAGGCCACACTTACTGACCCTTCCTACACAGTCCACCAACTGGAAATCAAACATTCAGATCCTATGAGGGCCATTCTCACTGTAACCTTCACACTCCCCAACAGCCTTCCCTTTGTGCAGCTGCTCAGGAAATAGAGCTGCTGGCACTCTCAAGATGATGCCTTGAGAGCAGCTCCTTCTCTTTCCTGCATGCTGTGTAGGAGGCAGCCTGTTTATGAAAGACTCTTTCGAGAAATCTTTTCCCTTTCGTGTCCTTTCTCATCCTCCACTGCACTTTGCTTAAATTCTCAGCACATGGTGTAGTCAGTCATCTGGGATTAGAGTACTCTGATAATTAGGGTTCTCTGATAATTCTGTGAAATATGGAAATGAAGAGGCCAAGGTTTTGATCCATCTCAATTCTGGAAAGAAAATACTGATTTAGAGTAACATGCTCTAGTACTCATTTTATCTCTCTATAAAGGAAGAAAGATCTGAAATCAAAGGCAATGACGTCCCTCAAGAAAGTTTCACCTTTTTGTACTCAAAGAGCTGCAAAAATGTACATATCTTGAACTGGATGGAATCTAGCAGAATGATCATCAAAGGGATCAGAGAGTCTTCACTTAGCAGCTTATGGGAGCAGATGAAGAGCCCCACAGCCAAATATTGGGGGGAGTTTGGGGAGTCCTGCAGAGGAGGGGAAGAAATGACCAGAGGAATCAGAGTGGTCAGGGACACCACAAGAGCACAGCCCACAGAATTGACTATCTGGATCTCATACAGGCCTGCAGAAGTCAGGGAGCCTATAGGGATCTGACCCTCTGCATATGTTATGGCTGAGGAACTTAGTGTCCTTGTAGCATCCACAACAGTGGGAGTGGGAGTTGTCTCTGACTCCTTTGCCTGCTTATGGGACAATTTTCCTCATCCAGCCTTGTTGTAATGGTATGTGTCTGGGCTTACTGTAGTTTGTTGTGCCATGTTTGGTTGATGTCCCTGGGAGGGCTGCTCTTTTCTGAGGAAGGACAAATGGGCGTGTATCTTGGGGAAAGGGAGGTGGGGGGGGTAACTTTTATGGGGGAAAAGGAATGGGACTGCTGTAGGAATGTAGTATATGAGAGAAGAATTTAGAAAACCAATAAACTCGTAGAATGTGTAATGATCATAGCACAGTGACTGCTTAAAAATAAGTACACTCTGTCTTATTGGTTAGGGACCAAAATAGAATGTGAAATTGCATTTCTGAACTCCTGGAATCTACTTCAAATGGCACAGCACAGAACAGAATCTCGAGATGAGTGTTTGATGGACCTAAAATGAAGGCTAAATCTAATAATAGCCCCAGTGCCAGGCATGAAAACTTCCCTTCAAGTTTCTAGTAAGGAGTTTCAAGAGGCTCTTCCAAACAAAACAGGCTATTTCCATTACCCTTAATTGGCTCATAGAATTTGAAAGTAAGACCCTTTTGCTAAGAGTACCACATCCTTCAGACACAGGCCTTGGAATAATTTACCTAGAAATGATCTAAAGACTCTCAATTAAGAACAAGTTCTCATAGTATATTCAAGATTCCAAAGGATACAAGTAATAAATAATCCTATCTTAAAGACTACGAACCAAAACAATGACCTCAATGGCAGGATATCTACCATGGTGCAGTAGTAGCACTTTTACCTTGGTAAAAACTGATATCTATCTTATTGGACATAAAGTCCACTCAATAGGAAGGATATTAGGCCCAGTATATAAACCTACTTAACCCCCACATCTGAAGAGTTCATAGACCCTAGAGAACCTACTGTGGCCACTTTCCTAAATCAGTGCACCTTCTAATTATATTCTAAATACATGTGATTATACACACATATAAGTGTATGTCTCGGTCCTAATGAAAGAAAATTCATTTTGAAGCAGATAGAAGCTACTCCATTAAAAACATTTAGATGGTTTTTATCTTGCATGATTGGAATGCCTCTCTCTTTGCTTAATAAAGGTTCTTTTCAGGCTGGGGAGGGTTTTGAGAAAAAATTTCCCTGTGTAACCATGGCTTTTCTGAGCATCCACAGAACCCTGGAATCCCTCCCCTTGAACTCACAGAGTTCCACTTGTTTCTGCCTCCCGAGTGCTGAGGTTAAGGGTATGCACCACCACAGCCCAGACAGTAAAGATATTTACTCAGAACATGTAACTATTTCCTGGCATGATTGTTTAGCTATTTCTTTTTAAATGTTCTCCAGTCACTTGTTATACAATGGAGACATTTCTCTTTAGGAGGAATAAAATTCTCTTTTTCCTCATAAGTCACTCACACTGCCTATAAATTCAAAGTCATCTCAAAATATGCCACACCCCCTCCCACTGTGCTGTACCCAGACTCTCAGCCAGGTCTGGTTTGGGAGGAGCTTCAAGCTCAGAAGACAAGGAGGGAACTCAGTAGTTCTGGCATGGCAAGGTTCTTGGGTGGAGCTCACTTGTTGCAGGAGCAGGAACGCTTCAACAACCATACGGACACCACTGTTCAGGGGTTGATTACTTGCTTCTGTCTCCACCATCTAGACAAGCACCATGAGGAGGCTGCTGTGCTCTCTGCTGGGGCTGCTGTGCACCCAGGTTTGCTGTGAGTCTGATTGTCCACGTTC